GAAATTTACCTAGAGACGTGGTTATTTATTTCTCTAGGAGATCACTTTGTAATGAAGATATACAGGCTTTTTATAAGCAGAGATTTCAAATTGCAGCCCAAAATGTTATAATCTTAAAAGAAATACCTCCAAAAATCCTTAGAAAAAGAAAGGATTTTGCTTTTCTGGCTGAGGAGCTTAAAAATTGACAGGTTCAGATTAGATGGGAGATACCTGTTGGAATAGTGGTGAACGATGCTGGGACATGTTATAGACTTAATACAATCTCAAAAGCAAAAGATTTTTATACTTCTGTCCTGAAAGCAGGTTCGCCACCATCTCCATGACCTAAGAGAATAGAAGAAAGGCTGGAAGAACAGCCAGGTGAAGGTGCATTGTCATTGGTTGTAGGAGATTTACAGGCTGGATCTATGGAACATTGTTTGGAGGTAAAAGGTGATCCAAAGGAACAGAAGATGACTCGTGTTGCGCATAGACATAAAGAAAAGGAACAGCAGAAGACTGATGTTGGATCCATAACACAAGGTTCGATTATTACAGAGCCCGTGGGAGGGACAAGTCCAAAGAGATCATCAACCGCTGATCTTCAAGTAGTGTTCCAGAGGCTTCAGGCCATTAAGAATGGCAAAGTTTCTGACATGGAATGTTAATGGCCTGAATTCACCACAGAAAAGAAAGAAAGTATTTCATTATTTGAAACAACATAAGAATGATGTTGTTTGCTTGCAGGAGACTCATATTGCTTTAAAAGATCAAAAGTATTTGATTAATTCCCAGTTGGGATCACATTTTATAGCTTCTGCTCCAGAAAAAAAGGGGGTGTAGTTATTTATGTAAGAAAAGACTTATCAGCTAAATTAATTGATTCTGATATACAAGGAAGATATGTTATCATTGATTTAGTATTACAAGGCAAGAAATTTCTTATTATTGGACTATATGCCCCTAATCAACAACAAAAACAGTTTTATAAGTTGTTACATCAGAAACTAACTCAATTGGATTATAAATCTGTTATTATGATGGGTGATTGGAATGGTGTTTTATGTTCAAGTAAGGACAAGAAGGGTTGTTTTAAATCTTCCAATCACACTAAATTACTTAAAGCTTTTTTTGATTTGAATGATGATTTGGAACTCAGAAACATTTGCCGAGAATGGAATATGGAGGACAGAGATTTTACTTTTTTTTTCAGACAGGCATCAAATGTATTCCAGAATTGTTTTTTTCTAATCACCACTGATCTTTTTTCTAGGGTCAAGAATGCCAAGATTTTCCCTTGAATATTGTTGGACCATAGTCCTGTATGGTTGGAGTTATCTGTTGAAGACGAGAATAGAAGGACTTGGAGATTGAATGAAAATTTATTTAGATATGAGGGGATCTCACAGAAATGTAGAGAATATTTGAAGGATTTTTCTTTTGAATATGTATAAGGGTACCTCGATGGCAATGGTTTGGGATGCTAGTAAAGCTTATATGAAAGGGGTTCTGATTCATATGAACAATGCACATAGGCATAAACAGATGCAAAAATGTAAAGAGTTGGAAGAAGAAATTAAATTGAAAGAGAAGGCTTTTATTTTGAATCCATTGGACAATAGGTTAAAGGCTTCAATAAATATGCTTAAGGAGCAATTTAATATGTTAATGGCTGATCAGATCACAATTAACTTGCGTTATATGAAACATAACACATTTTGTAATGCAAATAAGCCTGGTAGGTGGTTGGCTTATCAATTATGGAAGAAACAGAAGTCAAGGATTATAGAGAAAATAGATTATAAAGGTAAAGAGGTATATCAACAAAATTTGATTAAAAGGAGTTTTTTAGATTTTTACTCAAAGTTATATGTTAGCGAAAGCATACAAGCTTCAGATATAGAAAAGTATCTATAGGCAGTATATTTTCCTAGACTTTCAAATGATCAACAAAATGAGATGAATTGTTTACTTACTTCTGAGGAAATTATTTGGGCAATCAAACAGTTAAAGGTTGGTAAGGCTCCTGGTACAGATGGATTAACAGCAATCTATTATAAAATGTTATCTGAAGAAATGATAGAACCATTAAAGGAACTTTTTAACAGTATTTTGTTGGGAGCAGAGGTACCTCCATCTTGGAGAAGGGCTTTTATATCGTTGATCCCAAAGGAGGATCAAGATCTTACCCAGCCTAAGAATTATAGACCTATGTCTCTTTTGAACACAGATTATAAGATTTTTTCGAAAATATTCGCAGATTAATGCATGTTTTGAAGTAATTGATCCATAGTGATCAATCTGGATTTATAACTGGGAGATATATGAAATATAATGTAAGACACATTGTTAATTTAATTGAGTATTTGGACAAGAATAATCAAATCCCAGCAGCTTTGATATTTTTGGATGCTGAAAAAGCTTTTGATCAGTTAAATTGGCAATTTTTATTGAGAGTTGTAGAGAAAATGAATTTTGGGGATAAATTTTTATATGCTCTTAAGGCTATATAGCAACAACAATTGGCACAAATTATAATTAATGGGGGATTAACAGAAGCATTTAAAATTGAAAGGGGTACAAGACAGGGATGTCCATTATCCCCATTGTTATTTTTTTTAATAATGGAGATTTTACTAATTAAAATTCGTGAATCAGCTACAATAAAGGGAATAAAAATGAATAAGAATGATGATAGGTTGAGAGCTTTTGCTGATGATTTGGTTGTCACATTATCTCAAACAACACACTCGGTAAGGGATTTGGTGGGAATCATAACCCAGTATGGGAAAGTCTCCGGTTTTAAGGTAAATAATAATAAGACTAAAATATTACCGAAAAATATGTCTACGAAGGAAAAAGATATGGTAGCTAAATTGACAGGTTTTGAAATAGTGAAAAAGGTTAAATATCTGGGAGTATACATTACAGCTTCTAATGTTAAATTGTATAAAAATAACTATGAGACACTATGGGTAAAAGTGCAAAAGGATTTAAATGATTGGAAAAAAACTATAATTATCTTTGCTGGGGAGAATCTCAGTGGTTAAAATGAATGTTCTTCCAAAGTTTCTTTTCTTGTTTCAAATGATACCTATTTTGAAAAAAAGATGCCAATTTGGATGAATGGCAGAAGGGTATTAATAAATTTATTTGGGCGGGGAAAAAACCAAGAGTTAAGTTGAAGATTATACAAGATGTACGGGAAAGAGGAGGACTTTAGGTGCCTAATCTGAAATTATATTATGATGTGGTAACTTTAACACTGATTAGTGATTGGCTTAATTTAACAAATAAAAATATACTTTCTCTTGAGGGATGGGATTTACTATATGGATGGCACGCATATCTAATTTATGATAAAAAAGTAGATCAGGTTTTTAAATCCCATATTTTAAGAAGTGCTTTATTGCGTGTCTGGAAGAAGTATTATTATAGGTTAAATTATAAAATACCAATTTGGGGGATTCCTGGACACGCAATAGAGGGGGTATCTAGGGGTGTGAACTTGGATAGGATTTCTTATAAGGAATTACTTAGATTGGTAGGGAAGGATTGCCAATTAAAATCTTTAGTTGAGTTAAAGCAAGAAAATATTGTACAGTCTTGGTTTCAGTATAACCAATTGTTGGTTAGGTGGAGCTTAGATCAAAAGGTTGGTATTACTTTAGGGGATGAGAATTTGGCAAAACAGATTAAAGATTCAAATCGAGCCCACATAAAGAGAATTTATAATGTTTTAGTAGAATTGGATTCTGAAATGGATTTAGTTAAAGATTGTATGATAAAATAGGCTCAAAATATTCAAGAACCGATTTCATTGGATACATGGGAGGTAATTTGGGTTAGAAATGTAAAATTTACCCAGGCTCAAAATTTAAGAGAAAATTTTTATAAAATGTTTTATAGGTGGCATTTGGATCCCAAAAAGCTGTTTTATATGTATCCCAATTTACAGCCCAAATGCTGAAGATGTGGTAGCTTGGATGCAACCTATTTTCATATTTGGTGGACTTGTAGAAATATAAAAGCTTTTTGGATTAAGATTTGGTGGAACATTCAAAAGATTTTTAAAAGAAAGATAAAGTTCATGCCACAACAATTTTTGTTGGGTGTTATTGTAGATTGTGATGCTAAAGAAACTAATTTGATGTTGAATTTTATAACAGCTGCAAGGTTATTAGTAGGGCAATATTGGAAGAAAGATTCTTTGTCTACTATAGAAGATTGGACGCTTAAGGTGTCAAATTTAGCAGAAATGGCAAAAATTTCTGCTTACTTGAAGGATCACTCACAAGAAAGATATATTTCGGTTTGGAGAAGATGGGTAGATTATATTCAGAATGAATATGGGATTAAAAAGTTTCATTTAGCCTATGAGTAAACTTTAGAGTATTATTAATAGTTTTTTTTATTAATTTTAGTATGGTTTAACAATATTGATTTGTTTATATTATAATGTTTAATTTGTGTTCAGCTAATTATAATTATGTTTAATAGATTTTGCTGTGATATGAACTATTTTTCCATTATTTTTTGTTTATAATGTTATTACAATTTTAACAGAGGAGATCTGTATTCCAACGTGAAAATGTCAGAGACTATTAGGGCTAGGGACATATCCAAAAATTCAAACTGAGAACTGACTTTATACATTATGCCCATCAATCTCTGAAGATAAAATCAGAAAAAATATTGGGAGTAGATTACATTTCAAATTTTGAACGCTATAACAATACACAAAATCCTCATTTCCTTTATTATAATAATTTAAAATTCAATCCAATCTCACCACACCTTTTGATTTAAAATATTTTAATGGAATCTTGCAATAACCATGATTGACAAAAACAGTGTCTATAACAACCACACATTTTCAAAGCCACAAAGACATCAAATGACTTTCTCCTGATAATATCTCTAGTTTTTGTCTTGATAGCACCCAGAACAATGTTTGCTTCAGGTTCTAAGAAGATGGTAGACTCATCTGGGATAGGAATCTAAGATAATTTTTACTGTTATTTTCTCCTTAAGTGCTTCCTACAGTTCAGCTCAGGTCTCAGCAGAAGAATATACACTTTGGGGGAAAAGATGCAGACCAATAAACCAGCACTGGAGGCCAAGATGGAAAAAATCTCCATGGCCACCATGTACTTGCCTTTTGTGCTTAAATAAGTTGGAACAAAGGACACCCAGACTGTGCAGAAGACCAACATGCTGAAGGTGATAAACTTGGCTTCATTGAAAGAGTCAGGCAAGTTCCTAGCCAGGAAGGCCACTGAGAAGCTGATGGTAGCCAGGAAGCCCAAAAAGCCCAGGACAATATAAAACATGGTAACAGATCCTTCATTACACTTCAAAATAATTTCTTTTATCAGGGAGTGCATGTCAACATCAGGAAAAGGGGCAGCAGTGACCAACCACACACTATAAATCAAGGCTTGACTAAAAGAGCAGGAAAGAACAATGGAGTTGGCCAAGTGTTTGCCAGACCATTTTCTCATTCCACCTCCTGGTGTGGTTGCCATGAAGGCAAGGACCACAACAATAGTCTTGGCCAAAACACAAGAAATGGCTATTGAGAAGATAATGCCAAAAGCTGTTTGTCGAAGGAGACACATAAGCTTTGTGGGCTGTCCAATAAAAAGCAAAGTGCAAATGAAAGAAAATAAGAGGGAAATGAGGAGAATATAGCTGAGGTTCCGATTGTTCGCTTTGACAATGGGAGTCTCCTGGTGCTTAATGAAGAGTTGAAGCACCAAAGCTGTGAGAAAAGAAAAGAAAAGGGCAAGAACAGTGAGTGCGATTCCTAAAGGTTCTTCGAATGAAAGGAAGCTGATATTCTTTGGAAGGCACAGATTCTGGTCTTTGTTGGGATACTGATCTTCTGGACACTGAAAACAGTCATCCAAGTCTATTGAAATAAACAAATGTATTATTTAATGTATGTATAAGAAGCGTATACTAACTTTATTACATAAGTCTCAGGTGTGAAAAGAAAGAGTCAACAAAGAGCAATAACACACATCATAAATTCACCTTTAGAGAAACCTGAATAGATAATCCTGTTTGGGATGTCACTAAATGCTGAAGTTCTTTCTGCAAACTGTTCCATTGATTTATTGTTCTAACTGTCTAATTGTTAGTTCTAGGTTGTTTCTCTCCTTGACCAGTTTCCATCCATTGCTTCTTGTGCTGCCTTCAGATGCTTTGGAGAATAGGTTGGTCATGTCACCCTTAATCTTTCTTTCCATTAAACTAAACATATCCAATTCCTGCAACTGTTCTTCATATATTTTAGCCTCCAGTCGCCTAATCATCTTTGTTGTTCTTCTTCACAGTCTTTCTAGAGTCTCAATATCTTTTTTTTATCATGGTGACCAAAAGGGGATGCAATATTTCAAGTATGGTCTTACCAAGGCATTATAAAGTGGTATTAACACTTCACATGATCTATTCTTGGCCAGGTACCACCTATTGAGAGATGCCTCAGGTTTGACTCTTAAGATGTCAGAGACATCTTATGTCTTTGTTTCCAATCTCTGATGCAAGTATGTGCATGAAGATTCTCAATCACCCAGGTCATGGTTGACCTAAAAATTCTTTGTTCAAGAGGCAACTGGACTTTCTTGGGTGTTTTTTCTTTTGAAATGTTTCACTTCACAGTCAAGAAGCTTCTTCCATTCTAACTTCAGGATGCAAAGAGAAACTTTTTCAAAAGGAAAAAAAATCTAAGAAAGTCCTGTTGCCTTTTGGAAAAAACATCTTTGGGACATCTAGTGCAAGTATCCATTTTTGTGTCATCACAATATTTTGTGGGGGAGGTTATGTCTTTTACCCTGCCCCATTCCTAAACAGTATGAAAAAAAAAATAATATGGAAAAAGTGAAAGGAACACAAGACCCATAAGTTGTTTTTCAATAATTCTTCCAAAGCATGGAGTCTTAAATCACACCTTTTTAATGACTCCTCAATAATTTGGGGATAACATGAAGCTCATAGGCAGGGCATTAATACATTTTTCTACAGTAAATCTTACCCTTTGGGTAAGAAATCTTTCCTTCTGGGCATCGATGGCAATTGTAGCAGCAAAATGGTTTCCCTTCAATCCTTTTCCTACTGTATCCAGAATTGCAATGGGAATTACACAGAGAAATGGGAGGTTTCTATCAGGAAACAAGAAATTACTACTAAGACATGTTTACAAATATCTACCTCTAAGTGATACCCAGGGAGATTTTAGATGGTGGTCTTGAAAAGAACTGTACAATGAAAGAAATTCAAATGTCACACTTGTTTAAAAATCCTTAAGGAAGCAAGACTGTTGCCCAGAAGAGATTCATTTGAATCAAAGAAATACCTAGAAATGTGACACTTTGGTCCCCTTTAAATTAATATCTTAATAAAGTCTTAGGTAAAATCAAAAGTAAGGACTGCTTTTGGTTTACATTTCACTGAATTATGCGATAATATAACCTAAGGTGATTTTGTGAGACTTGGAGGACAGTTGCATCCTGCCATTAATTCTGTTCTGTCAATACAAAACTGCCACACATATTTGTTGGCTTATATTCTGTTCCTTTTTCTCTACAACATCAGTATGTTGTAGGCAAATTGTGAAATCCACAAATTGAATTAAGAATATGAAAAGGAATGTTTAAATAGTGGAATGGAAAGAAGAAGAGGAAGAGGAAGAGGAAGAGGGAGGAGGAGGAGGAGGAGGAGGAGGAGGAGGAGGAAGAAGAAGAAGAGGAGGAATTAATACATACAAGGAGATTTTGACATACTTGGAGGGCAGTTGCATCTGGCTATTAATTCTGTTCTGTCAATACAAAAATGCCAACAAATATTTGCTGGTTTCTACTCTGCTCCTTTGCTTTGCAAAAAGTCTTCAACAACAAAAACATAGGCAAACATCAGCATGTTGTAAGCAAATTGTGTAGTCCACATATTGATTAAGAACATGAAAAGGAATTTTTTAAGTGGAAGAATGGAAAGAAATGAAGCATATAACATCCATAAATACATGGTGGAAAATGATTGAAACAACAGAATGAGCTCTACCTGGTTGAATGCCTTAGCCCATTGGATCTCATCTTCAGAAATGGTGAATGCTTTACCAGGGGCATTCTGTGGTGCCATTTTCCCAACTTTGACTCTAACAAAGGACTGATTTGGAAATGTGATCCAGTTGATAATATCAAATCCTGCTATTAATTCCCCTTTGGAACTAAAGGAAAGCATTTCTCCAACACTGTTGTTAAATGAAACACTTCTCAAGAAATGGTGAAGCTAGATGAAAATGTCAGCAATAAATTATCAATCTTGTCCTTAGCGTAATATTAAATAAATAGATGAACCGGGACTGAATCTTAAAGGCATTTGTTATGTAAAAAAAAATTGCATGCAAATTTATCCCAGATATTTTAAAAAGCCCATTTCAATTCATTTTAGCCAGTTTTTTTTGGGGGGGAGGGGGGAGATTCAATTGCTGTTGACTTAGGTAATGTTAGTTTTGTTTGCAGTATTGTAGTGTATGATATTACTTTACATTGGGTTGCTTGATTTTAGCAAATGGAATTTCATAATCCGATTACAAAGATACTAATAGAATCTCTAGAATATTTTTTTTTTCTTTCTAGGACAATGCATATTTTTTTACAAGTACAAGCAATTAAAGTTAATTAATAATGACAGAAAGTTAACGTGAATCATATCAAATTGATCTTCACCTTTTCCCTCAGTGAGGTAGCAATATATATTACAAAAGTAAAATTAAAGGCCATGATCTAATTCTCATTCCTCCATCTAAAGGTTAGGGCAGAGTTAATATAACAGTATTCAGTAGTTTGCAAGCATATGAGCAAGGCTTCTAAAAAAAACCTTTAAAAAAGAAGCATAACAGAAATGAAGTTGAATAACTTAGAATAGGATAACTTAGTTCCAGTTATTAGGAATGGCCAAACAGCTTTCCTTCCTGTCTTAAGGAAATCTTATGCACAAGGTGTGAGATGGAAGATATGGCACAGTTATTGTCTGAATATCTAAAATTCTGCAGTGAAGTCAGAGTCTGAACCACAAGTATCATAGCCTGATGCCACAAAACATGAATTCTCCTATTATTACTCCCAGGAAACTAGCTGCCAAGGTTGTTGATTGAAAAACTACATTCTCTATTAATCTGTCCTGTCCCTTTCTTCACTGTAAAGATTCCTTTCCATCCAATTGGGTAGCAATAAATATATCACAAGTAAAATAAAAGATGCTAAGGTTTAATAACATTCCACTATTATCTGAAGAAATGAAAACTGTGTCTACAGGGATTCTTCTATATTATTGATCTCAGGAAACTACCTGCCAAGGTTGTTGTTTGAGAAACTGTTGTCTCTGCTCATTTCGTCTTGCTACTTTTTTCATTGCAGAGGAGTGCCTATTGTGTAAAGCTTCTGCCACTACATGGACAGCATTATAGATGCTGTAGCTGTGGCTGCTCATGCTCATTTCAAAAATTGACCCAGGAAGTTGATCCAGGTTCTCTTCTCCAGTGCAGATATCTTCTACCATTGGTTCTCCAGGAACAGTGGAGAAAGAACACTGAAATGCCTCTTTCCAGAAATCCCTAGAAAAATCATCTTCCTGTTCCAATGTCAGCTTCCTGTGTTGAAGGAACTCATGGAATCCCAGCACTTCCTCACTGTGGACTGCAAAAGAGAGTGCACCATGCAGGAATTCAATTGGCCAGCTTCGTTGAAAAGACATTGATGTGAAATCCATCTGGGCTATGAAAATCCATAATTTGGTTTTCATTGGGATCTCTTCAAATTCAGAGATATGAAGCATTGCCCTTAAAACCACCATTGTTTGAATTTCTCCATGTACAACAACTACATTAGTAGTGGCTTCCATAATGAGCCTAGTAGTTTTTTCTCCTTCTGCAACCATTTTAGTGATTTCAGTTGAAAAATTTACTAGTGGAAATGTTTCTATAAAATTAAAGCAGATACCTGCCTGGACAAACATGGGGAGCTGATTTTCTACAAATTTTTCTCCACTGACATTGGTAAAGAAAATCACTCCAATCCATATCCACTGGAAATAAAGCAGTATTTGGAGGATCCCCTTATATTGTTGGTTGATGTCTGGAAATATTTGGTGAAGGAAAACTTTTTGGGATATGTCATTCATCACTGGTGAGGACCCATAGGCCAACTAAGGAATATAGCAATTAAGAAGGGAAAGTCTCTGAGATATTTTTGCCAATATAATTAATTTAAGTAATTTTACCATTGCTAAATTTATAGGCATGTGTGCAAGCATTCAGTCCAGGCTTCATTAAAATTCAGTGATAATTTGGGGTTTGTGAGTGTAATAGATATGGATTTACCTACTCAGAAATAAAAGAATATATAATTTGCTTTAAACTTAGCATATATAGTATGAGTAGGAAAATCAGGGGCCTATGACATATGAAACATGGATTACTAAGTTCTTTGTCATAAATTTGCTGTTAAGGAAAAACATGACTCATTGAATGATTATTTTGAATCATAAGCCGATATCAACAGTGTTTGGTTTTAAAACAACGCCTAAACTTTTTAACAGAATAACAGAATTGGAAGAGACCTTGGAAATATTCTAGTCCAACCCCTGCTCAAGCAGGAGATCTTATACAATTTCAGATAAATGGCTGGCCTGTGATGGGGCACCCACAATTTTTTAAGGCAAGTCATTCCACTGGTTAATTGTTCTCACCATTAGGAAATTTCTCCTTAGTTCTAGCTTGCTTTTCTCCTTAGTTAATTTCCAACCCTTACTTCTTGTCTTGCCTTCTGCTGCTTTGAAAAGCAAGACAAGAAGTTTCAGCTCCATCCTACTTCCTTAAAGATATCAAGGTCATATTTCAAAAATATTGCTTGCTTTACTATATTACATGAGGACAACTCACCTGCGGAATCTTGTAATTGTACAAAATGATTGCCATGTAGTGACACACATCAGCATCAGGACCTCCAATCACCGATGCCAAATTAGCCTGCATATCACACTTGTAGTTAGGGATAAACCTGCCCTGTGTGGAAAGAAGTTCCAGTGAGACACGGAAAGTCCAGGTGGGATGGAAATTGCTGTTCAGCACATGGAATCCCAGTGTGACATTGCATAAAATCCTTGGACTTTTATTAATTGTCTCTATAGCAAATTGTAAGGCTAGAATATGCTGGTAGCTCTGAGTTATTATTCTGCAATGAGAAAGTTGTTTTATTAATAACACACACACTCTCACACACACACACACACACACACACACACAGTATTTAATCAAAGCATTTGGAAATTTTGCCCCTTTCATAAATGCTACTAAGGTATAAAGGAAAACCATTTTCTCTAAAATCTGTAATAAGAGCATAGCAGCATGATATAATTTAATCCTTGGAAGTGCTAATCCACCTTACTTATATTTTAATAGCAAGACATTAAGTGATTGGTATTTTGCTATCCAGTTGTGGGTGAGGTTATGATTAGGTGGGTGATGAATGTCAAAGCCACTATCATGGATTAGATTTACCATGCATCAAAAGAAGTAGCTTTTGATACATAATTGATCCCCATACTCTATATTTCAATACAGTTCAATCGAAGGACAGTGTTATAAAGCTTCTTGGATGAGAAGCGAAATGTCTTCCTCAAGGAAAAACAAAGTCCAGTTGCTTTTTGAAAAAGCACCTTTGTGACACTACCTATTTAACATACAATGAAGGTTTCTACAGGCAAAAACACGGCTTTACCATGGGTTCACCTATGTCCTCCACTGTGGCCAATCTCTACAAAGAAGTGGAAACTAAAGCCCTAAACTCCTTCACAGGAATTCCACATACTAGTATAGTTATATGGATGATACTTGGCTCAGGTTTAAAACACAGGAAGTGAAAGCCTTCACCAAATACATCAACTCTGTGGACAGATACATTAAGTTCACATAGGAAGATGCTAAGGAAAAGAGTCTGGCTTTCCTGGACTGTAAAGTACACATAAAGGAAGATAGAAGCCTTAATGTTGAAGATAACAGTAAACACACAGAGATATCAGTATTTACATTTTGATTTTCATCACCCACTGGAGCACAAAATGGGAGTGATCAGCACCCTACACCACCAGGCTAAAGGTTTGCCTACCAATAAAAAGAGAAAAGAAAAAGAAAAGAAAACAAGGAAGCCCTCGGGATTTTGATATGTTATTGTTCCCTATATTTTTTTCAATATACAAATCTCCTAAGTCTCAGTATGGTTTAATGAGTAAGGCAAACACTGGATTCAATGGAATAAAGCATAAAATGACAGGCAATGATGCACTTACTGGTATGTCCATCATTAATTCATAGACACTAGCAGCATTTGAAAATTAATCTGGGGCATTGCCAAGAGATGTAATATTGTTAGAAATCAAGAAAAAAAACATGAAAGGGCTTACATGACATTGTCAAACACATCAGAAGAGGGATTTCTTTCAAAGGTTGCTGAAGGGGAAAATACATAGATCTGAGAGAGAATAGCACCAATGATAAAGTCACCAGGATGGTAATCTTTGTGAAGAATAGCAAGAGGGAGACTTGTAGGGCATTTCACAGGATGACTGTTATAGGCGACTTCAAACACCAGTATCACTAGCACTGATGCCATAAACATCACCATCTTCAATGGACCTTTCTTCAGGATTTATGTCACATATTCATATTTGTTTGAATCGGACATGTTGATTTGAGTAAATACTTATTGGCTGCCTTGCCTTAATAATTAATATAATCCTGCAGAGAAAATATTGTTTGCCTTTCTCCTAGTTCAAAATGTATATTAATAACTGGTATTAGTCTTGGTTCAATGTTTTGCTATATATTTTTAAATTCTCTAGGAAGTTGTAGCAGTAATTATGCTTGAGTTGGAAATTATAAAGAGGAGAAACTACAGTGTAATGATGTTGATCTATGACATAAAAAAGGGAAAAATGTATCATATCTCTATAATTGACACTCATACACTTCTATCACCAGTTTTATAACTATCTTTAACAAAAATGGAAAACTTAAAAAAAAATCAAAAGATATGTCAAAGAAGGTATAAAGGTTTGACAAGGGAAGTTTGCATAATATTCAAAATGAGTGAAAGTACAGAAAAAAGAAACAAATAGACCATTTGGGACTTACAACTAACATATATATTATAACAAATGATTGAACTCTGTGCAGGCTCAAAATATTTGCATATAACTTATTAATCAGGATAACAACAACAACAACAACAACAACAACAATAATAATAATGATAAACTCCTATTAGACAAAATGATCTTGGAAAACTGCAAGAAAAGGAAGACCAATCTGAATGTGGCATGGATTGACTACAAAAAGGCATTTGACTCTCTGCCACATGACTGGATAATCAAGTGCCTAAAAATAACAGGAGTCAGTAGAAACATCAGAAAATTTGTGCAAAGATCAATGGCACAATGGAAGACACAGTTGCAGATCAATGGTGAGAGACTGGGAGAGGTTAATATCAAGAGAGAAATATTTCAAGGAGATTCATTGTCACCATTACTATTTGTTATTGCACTGTTTCCTCTGTCAACAATACTGAATAACTCAGGACATGGCTATCAAATATCAAAAACATCTAACAGACTATCCCATCTCCTTTACATGGATGATCTGAAACTGTATGGAAAAACATCATCTGAAATAGAATCGCTGCTCAACACTGTCTGTATATATAGCCAAGATATAGTTATGGAGTTTGGCCTGGACAAATATGCCACACTTACTATCAAACAAGGAAAAGTAGTGAAAACTGAAGGAATCAAGATGCCCCACGAAAATAACATTAAGAGTCTGGATGAGGAAGATTACTACAAATACTTGGGTATCCTTCAAGCTGACAACATCAAGCACACTGAAGTAAAAAAAAAAAAGATTAGTGGTGAATACATCAAGAGAGTGAAGAAGATCTTAAAGTCCAAATTCAATGGAGGAAATACCATAAAGGCAATCAACACCTGGGCAATTCCAGTCATTAAGTACACAGCTGGAATAGTGGACTGGACTCAAGCAGAACTAAAAGCAATGGATAGGAAGACCAGAAAAATAATGAGAATGAATCATGCCCTTCATCCATGCAGTGACATTGACAGACTTTATCTACCAAGGCAAATAGGTGGGCGTGGAATGCTACAAGTACATTAGATGGTTGAAGAAGAAAAAATGGCTTTGAAAGAATATCTGAAGAACAATGATGAAGATGCACTGAAAATAGTATATCAGGAAGGCTTACTGACTACTGGAGAGACCAAACTGGCCTACAAGAAAGATCAAATGAAGAACAGAATAGAGGCATGGGAAGACAAAGCACTACATGGCCAATACATGAAAAAAATAGCTGGGAAAGCAGATAATAACAAGACCTGGCAATGGCTAAGAGCAGGAAAATTGAAGAAAGAGACCGAGGGACTAATTCTGGCTGCACAAGACCAAGCCTTAAGGACAAATGCATACAAAGTCAAAATTGAGAAGACAGCAACAGACAGTAAGTGCCGCCTATGCAAAGAAGCTGAAGAAACAGTGGACCACCTGGTAAGCTGTTGCAAGAAGATTGCACAGACTGACTACAAGCAGCGGCATGACAAAGTAGCAACAATGGTGCATTGGAAGATCTGCAAAAAATATCATTTGCCTGTAAGCAAAAACTGGTGGGATCATAAAATAGAGAAAGTCATAGAAAATGATAAAATTAAACTGCTCTGGGACTTCAGAATTCAAACAGACAAGCACCTGCAACATAACACCCCAGACTTAACAATTGTGGATAAGAAAGACAAAAAAGTCTGAATAGTGGACGTGGCAGTGCCTGGAGACAGCAGAATAGAAGAGAAAGAGCTGGAGAAGATAAGAAAATATAAAGACCTACAAATAGAAATAGAAAGACTGTGGCAAAAGCAAGCAAGGGTAGTACCAATAGTCATAGGTGACTTGGGTGCAATCCCCAAACAACTGGAGCACCACTTGAACACCATTGGCATTGACAAATTCGCCATTAGTCAATTGCAAAAGATGGCCTTACTAGGAATTGCTTCCATCCTGCGATGATACCTGTAATACCATCAAACATCCACATCTGCCTATCCCAGGTCCTGGGTAAGGACTCGATAGGTAGACAAAATGCCAAATCCAGTCTGAACATCTGGCTGACTGTGCGATGATCCATAATAATAATAATAATAATAGTAGTAGTAGACTGGAATGGTGGTGAATTATGCGGGGACACGTTATAGACTTAATACGGTTTTTAAAGCAAAAGAGTTTTATACTTTGGTCCTGGAGTTATGTTCATCGCCACCTATCATGTTTAAAACTTTGGAAGAGAAGAAGGCAGAATTGCAGTCTGAAGAGCCTATATTGATGAAAATTGGGAAATTTCAGACTGAGGGGTCTCAACAAGTTGAGATGAAGGAGCAGAGGATAACTCGTGTAACACATTAACGCAAAGAAAAGGAGCAACAGAAGAAGGAGGTTAAGGAAGCCTCACAAGTATTTGTTTCTGAGTCTGTGGGAGAAGCAAGATCTATAAACTTTTTGGAGCAATCTTCAAGGGCAGATTTCCAAGCACTTCTCTCGAGGTTTTTGGATAAGAGAGATCGATAAAGAATGTATAGATTGTTTTCAGGTTATTGACAGATTACAGTTCATTGTGGATGGAATTGGTTATTGGTAAAGAGGAGAGAAGATTATGGAGATCAAATAAAAATTTTAGATAAGAAGTTTAAGTTTAGTAATTTAAGGAGTATTTAAAAGAATATTTTGTTTTAATGGTATAACTAACGTTTACATGTTTTTTTGTGTTTGATGATAAAGAAAGAGGAATAGATTAGATCTTATATAATATAAGTATGATATTATGGAGATTGAATGAAAATTTTAGATAGGTAGTGCATGTTTAGATATTTAAGGAGCATTTAAAGGAATATTTTGTTTTAAATATGTATAAGGGAATTTCAATGATATAAGTAATGTTTATATGTGTGTTTTTGAGGGTGTTTATAAAGAAAGATGGATAAACTTTAAATAATATAAGTATGACATTAGAAAATGTTTAGCTTTTTTCGAATAATTTACACTTAAAGCTTATAAAATTTTAAAGGTGGTTTAATTTTCTTATTAAATTTTTTTGGGTTTTTCTCTTCTTTTTTCTTCTCTTAATTTTTTATTTTTTTTCTCTTAGTTTTATATTGGTGTTAGAGTATTTTATAATTTGTCTAATGATTGTAATCATAATTTTTTCTGCTTTTTATATATTGGTCTTAAAGTATTTTATAATTTGTTTAATTATTTTAATTAACTGTTTATGGTTTACATGTGTTTAAAATTTTTTCTTTTACGTTTCAATTAAGCCTGTATTCAGCTCTGGGAAGGTTGGGGGAGGGTTGGGGTGGGTTGGGAGGGTTTGGGGAGGGGAATCTTTTTTTTGTAAAATTTTAAAAATTTTCAATAAAATAATAATAATAAAAATAGTAAAGTTGGAGGGGACCGTGGAGGTCATCTAGTCCAATCCCCTGCTCAGGCAGGAAACCCTATACCATTTTGGACAAATGGCTGTCCAGTCTCTTCTTAAAAACTTCCAGTGTTGGAACATTTACCGCTTCTGGAGGCAGGTTGTTCCACTGATAAATTGTTCTCACTGTCAGGAAGTCTCTTCTTAGTTCTAGGTTGCTTCTCTCCTTGATTAGTTTCCACCCATTGCTTCTTGTCCTGCTTTCAGGCACTTTGGAAAATAGCTTGATTCCCTCTTCTTTGTGGCAGCCCCTGTCATATTGGAATACTGCTATCATGTCCCCCCTCTTCATTAAACTAGACATACCCAATTCCAGCAACCGTTTCCGGTCCTCTAGTAGTTCCTCAGTGCTCTTTTCCAGTCCTCTAGTAGTTCCTCAGTCCTCCAGGATCTTTGAAAAATATAGTTCAGTGGTTTTGAGATCATATCTGCTAGTTCCTTGAGAACCTTGGGGTGTAATCCATCTGGTCCTGGCGATTTGAACTCATCTAGGCTGGACAGGTGCTCACTTTCCATTTTCTTGCCTATCTTAACTTGTGTTTCTATTCTGTTTTTTATGGCACTATTTTTGATAGGTTGGTCTGTTTTTTTCCCTTTGTGTAAAGACAGATGCAAAAAACGAGTTAAATAGTTCTGCTTTCTCCCTGTTGCTTGTCAACTTCTTGCCACTTTCACCCACTAATGGACCAATCATTTCCTTCACTTTTTTCTTGTTTTTTACATGTTCAAAGAAGCTTTTTTTGTTATTTTTGAGTTTGGTCGCAAGCCTTAGTTCATTTTGAGCCTTGGCTTTCCTCACTTTATCTTTGCAGGCTCGGGCTATTTGCTGATATTCTGACTTAGTTATGTGCCCCTCTTTCCACTCTGTCACCTCTCCACTCTGCAAGAGGTAGAGAGCTAGTTTATAAATGTATCTTAATCCTAAGAGATAAATAGGCTGCTAAAAGAAATATAGATAGTCCTCAACTTACAATCACAATTGAGCCCAAAATGTCAGTTGCTAAGAGAGACAGTTGTTAAGTGGAATTTGCTCCATTTTATCACCTTTCTTCTCACAATTGTTAAGTGAATCACTGCAGTTGTTAAGTTAGTAA